GACCCCCCTAGATCATGACCTGAGCTGAAGGCCGACGCTTCACCAACTGAGCCACCCAGGTGCCCAAGCCCTGGCCAAACCCTAATTATTGCCAATCATTCTACTTGCTCTTTCTACTACTTTGTGCCAGACACTGTTTATTTGTGGTTCACCGCGAGGCGACGATTTGTTTCCCCGCCACACATGTGGGTATACTGAGGCACAGAGAGGTTGTGTAGCTTGTCCAGCCCCACATCCTTAGTAGGAGGCTGAGCCGGAGTTTGCATCCAGGTTGGTCCAACTCCCAGGCCGGAGGTCGTCCTGCTGTCGCCCAGATCACAGGGCCGTCTGGCCTCGCAGAAGTCACGTAATACCTTTGAGCCTCCAGGTCCTGTCTATAAACTGCAGACAGCGCTGAGCCACACCTCGGGGTGCGGGTGAAATGAGAAGACCCCGAGAGCCAGCAGGGCCCACCAGCCTAGGGCTGCGGTCGGAGGGAGGGAGCAGCCTCGGCAGCGGCAGGAGGATGGGGTGGCGAGTGACCTGCAGCCCCAGCGCAGAGGCACAGCCAGCAGAGGCACAGAGGGGGACCCGGGAGGGCAGAGGGGGATGGGAAGGTGGCAGCCGCAGCTGGGGGAGCCTGAGCAGGCGAAGTCACCCGAGCTGTCCCCTGTCCTCCCCCCCCCCCCTGGGTCGCTGGCGCAGCCTGGAGGTCCTGCGGACCCGTGGGGTGTGTGTGTGTGTGTGTGTGTGTGTGTGTGTGTGTGTGTGTGTGTGTGCAGGGGTGGCTGTGGCTGCTGCTCATGGGCTGGGTGCAGGCCCGGGTGCTGTGCGGGAGAAGCACCCAGGACAAGGAGGCGGGGGGGGGGGGGGAGGGGGGGCTGGCTGAGCAGGACCGCGGGGGGCAGGAGCCGTGCCCCCCCATCACTGTTGGGAAGGCCGAGGCTGCATGTCCCCCCAGGGCTGGCGGAGGGCTGGCCTGCAGGTCCCTGCGCCCAGCCTTCCAGTGCAGCCCGAGAACCTGCTGGACGCCGGGCGCTTCCACACCTGTCATGTGTCACTCAATCCCGTGACACTAGGTGCGGAGTGCGGTGTCTGACTTACAGAATGGCACAGCGCGGTCAGAGAGGCCGACAGCCCCAGGCCCCGGGAGCAGGACTCAGCCTCTTCCCGCCGAAGAGGAGGACCCTTTCCCTGTCCTGCCCTGGCCCCCGGCCTCCTGGCCGCCCATCAGGGCCCCCGCCGCCCAGTAGCTCTGTCTAGTCTGACTGTCCTGGTGGCGGCAGAGATGTGGCCGTAAGGGCCACCGAAAGGGCTCCTTAAAATGAGCGGTGGAAAAACGAGAGGAAGGCAAACCATGAGAGACTCCTCACTCTGGGAAACAGACAAAGGGGTGCAGGAGGGGAGGAGGGCGGGGGGATGGGGTGACTGGGTGACGGGCACTGAGGGGGCACCTGACGGGATGAGCACTGGGCGTGGCGCTATGTGTTGGCTTGCAGAGCTGGTCACAGCATATGACCCTGGGGTGCTCCCCTCCCCCCTCCCTCACCCCCCTCCCCAGCTGCCTCCTGCTTCCTCTTCCTTCCTACCATTTCCTCTTTCCCTCCTTGCAGGGGGCCTTGGGGAGGACGGTCTGACTTAGGGCCCCGTGGACGGGTCTGGAATGGTCTATGCGGTGGGTCAGGCCCTGACTTCTTCAATTCAGACTGTACCACGCGAGTGCTGGGGTCTGAGTGCAGCTACCCTGAAGGGACAACAGAATTGAGGACAGGCACAGGGTGGGGGGGCAGAGTCTCTGAAGCCCATGACCCCCCATCTGACAGTGCCTGAGTTGGGGTGTGTGTTGGGGGGGGCGTAGTGCTGTTCTCCTTTTGGCCTCTGGCTCATGCCTCGCACCCTGGATCTTTCGAGCTCAGAGGAAGGGGGATGAGGCTGAGGTGGCAGGGGAGGGGGGTCTGGGCCTCTAGAGAATCTTGAGAGGAAGGACGTCCTCTCACGTTGCGGCTGGGACCCCAGCTCTGCCACCATCAGCACGTTTCCCCCCCGCCCCGCCCCCGTGCTGTTTGCATAGCGTTGACCACCTCTTCCAAACTGACCGGCTCATACTCTTCCAGAAGTTGCCAGCTGCCTAAACAGAACATGGTGCCATGGCTTAAAGCCATGTCTTTTCATCACTGTGGCTGCGGGCTAATGGCTCCCTTTGCTGGATGGGATCTTGGGACCAAGCTCTGAGTCAAGTTGATCTCTCTGAGCAAGCTCCTGAGTCCCAGCAGGAGGAAGGGTAACGACTAGAGGATTCCTCGGGCTGACTTTCTGCTCCCAGAGGGCTCTGTGCCCTCTGGGACTTGGCCTGTCCCTACCCCATCCCGGGTGCTGGAGGCCAGCCTCCGGGCTCAGGGCTCAGCGCTGTGCTGTCTGTTCCAGGCTGGCCTTTCCCTACCGGGGTGTCTGCCAGCCTCCGTGGAGGATTTGGCAGGGGGTAGGGCACTCCCGCCACCGGCCTGGTCCTTATGTTCCCAGCCTCTATCCTCTTCAGATCTGCTGAGTCCCACAACAGGCACATCCAAGGACAGGTCACCAAGTCCATTTGCTCAGGGCAACGGCCAAGCTCACCTGCAGCCACAGCCAGCCCAGCCCGTCACATGGCTACTGAGCAGCCCTGGATGGGGTTGGAAGCCCGCCCCTGGCACAGGGGGAAGGGGATGGCGACGAGGGAGCTTAAGTCCCCACTGGCCTTACAGGGTGGGCAGCAATGGGGTTGCAAAGTAAGAAAGGAGGATGCAGGTCCTGGGGGTTGACTGGCAAGAGGAGGCTCCTTTCCATCACCTCCTAAGGCCGAAGTCCCTCTCCTGTGCTGTTCCTTGTAGTTTTGGGTTGTTGTCCTGGCAGTGGTAATAGGTCCTGTAGGGTTTTTGTTTGTTTTTAACCCATTGCTGCTTTGGGACACATCGTTCCCTGTCCTTACCTCAGGAAGTCCTAGTGCAAAGTCTTAATAAGGTCAATAGTTGGACTGTCTGCTCATAGTTAAGAGAGAGCTGGTTCTCGTCCCTATCTAACTTGGTTACTGAGTAACCAGTATTGGGGTGAGGGAGGGGGGACTCTAAGAAGTGCCACTTTCTGCTAACAGAGATTTGGAGGGTCACGGGGGCAACTGGCCTCACGTCAAACAGTCCCCGGGCCTCACGGCACACAGTGCCACCGTACCTGGCCTGCTAGCCCAGCCCTGCCCAGCACGTGGGCTGCCGTCCCTCCCCTCACAGCCACAGGGGGCCAGCTGCTCCCTTCCTGGGGCCCCTTATTCTGAAGAAAGGGCTTGAGAGAAGGGAAGTGAAACCTGTGGTTCTCCACGCCCAGAGCCCCTCAGCTGTCTTTCCTGTGAGAGACTAAATCTGGCAGCCTTGGTGTCAGCTTAGCTCAGCCCTTCACCTGATCAGTGACCCCAGACCCCTTTGCACCATGGCACCAGTGACCCCAAGCCCCTTTGCACTGTGGCACCAGGACCTTTTGCTCAGAATAGCCACCAAAGTGGAGTGGAATGGAAAGAGGGCTGTGGAATGGCAAGTCCATTGGATTAATCAGAGGCCTGGTGCCAAGGGCGCTGTGCCCAGCTAGCCGTGGGACTCTGAGCTCATCCCAGCGCCTCTTTGGAGTCCAGGGAGGAAGTCCCAGAGGGCATCAGGGCCAGGCCTGGCATCACAGCACGTTTGAGGACCTCCTGCACCCCCATCTCCCAGAATCATGACTCATCTGCCCTCTTGGGTGTCAGGTTTTCGACTGGAGGTGGGGTCAGAGCTGGGTGTAAGGGCAGGGCTGGAATCTCACAGGTCCGGATATTGGTGTGGGCCCCTGCTGAACCTCCTTATCTGCTCCCAGGGAGCACATGGGCAGGCCGCAGCAGGCCAGAGTCTCTGCTCCATCACCTTGCAAGCTCGCAGCTGAAGCAGCGTGAGGTTGGGAGGCAGATCCCTAGAGAGGCCAGAGTGAGCCTCCCGTGTCCTGCCACTTAGGGTCATGTTGCTGAGGGATGGAAAGGGCTTTAGGGTCCTTCCTACCCTTCCCCCTCCTCCATGAGATCTTGAATCAGCCAAGGCTCTGGATCTTTCCTAAATGCCTGCCTCTTCCTCCCGGGGTGTGGGTCCATTTTTGAGGTCTATTTTCTGTGTATTTTGTGGCTCCCGGCCGCTGACTCAGCTCAGCTGATGTTCTGCTGAGGAAGCAGACACTGACTCAGGAGGCCATCGAGGCCTTCCCCAGACCCCCAGGGAAAGGGCAGGCTGAGGGGTTCTTTCCATCCCAAGACTGGTCCTCGGGATGAGAAGTGGGGGGAGGCAAGGGCGCATGTGAGGTGTGAGCCACAGATGGAAAAGATGACCTTCTGCCCAGTGGGATGGATGAGACCCGGCCTGGGAGGAGGATGTGGATTCCGGCACCAGCTCCCCCACTGCGGCCACGTTTCAGCTGCGTCTGGGCTCTGCTCTAATTGGGCTGTGGCCGCTGCTGCTCCTGCTGTGTTCCAGGCCTAAGAGGACTAGTGAGCGCCCCTGGGACAGGGCCCCCTGCACGGCTGCCCTGCACCTGCTCCCACCGCTTCCGGTGTTCTAAACACGGTTCCACCTTGCTGCTGCCATGTCTCGGCAGGAAACACAGACCCACATAGAGGCGTCCGGACCTTAGGTCAAGGGACAGTGGAGGTGACGGGAGGTGGCAAGAGCAGTGGGGATTGGGGACAGAGGACATTTGTGTGGTCTTGGGGGGCTGGTGCTGAGCCAGCTCTGCTGCAAGGCCTCAGGAGCTGGGACCAGAGAGCCAGGGCTCCCTGAGCCCCGTGGCCTCCGGGCCTCTGTTCCCACCCTCCCCTTGGCCTCCGTCCCAAGGAACTTGTGTCTGGTGGGGACACGTAGGTAGAGAGTTCGGGGTGCCGAGGCCCTGGGGCTGCCAGAGCAGGCCCCGGGGGACACTGCGACTGAGCTTCCAGCCGAGGCCGACTTCCTGCTAACCCAGGTGCCTGCCTTTTCCTGCAGGTTCCGAGGCTTCATCCTGCTGCTCACCTTCTTCATTTATACCTGTTATCACATGTCCAGGAAGCCCATCAGTGTTGTCAAGGTGAGGCTGACCTGGCACTCGGGAAGAGTGCAGGGGATGCCGGGCCCAGCAGAAATAAACTCTAGTAGAATGTTCTAGAGCTCGGCCGAGAACCATCCCTATTCCCTTACCATAGTCATGGAGGTGACTTCTTCACATGGCCGACCCCTACTTTGAGTAGTTCCTAGGGAACTTTCCTGAGCTGCTCCCTTTGACAGCGGTGTTGCTGCCTGTGGGTGGAAGGGGAGGGCTCTGCTCCTAGACTCCCCTTGCCCTTCACTGAGGGTCTGAAGTGGCCACTCGCCCCTGTAAGCCAGTTCCTGCAGGAGGAGAAGCCAGGGGAAGGCTGGAGTCCAGCGGGGAGGCCCTGGTGGGGTCCGGGAGGGCTGGGTGGGCTCTGACGCCGGGAGATGACCCCTGATCTGCGCACCCCATTGCCTCCTCAGAGCCGTCTGCACCAGAACTGCTCGGAGCTGATCAAGCCCACTAACGACAGCCACAGTATCAATGACACTACGTGGTGCGACTGGGCTCCATTTGGTAGGAACAGGGCAGGTTGCCCTTCCCCACTCCCCACGTCTCCGCCCCAGGAGGAGGTCGTCCGGGGCCAGAAAGGACTTCTTGCAGGGACAGCCAAGCACCAGCGTTCTGTCTCTCTCATCTGTTTTCAGACAAGAACAACTACAAGGAGTTACTGGGGGCCGTGGACAATGCCTTCCTTGTGGCCTATGCCATCGGCATGTTCATCAGGTAAGAGACAGGCCGAGCCTGTGACTGTCCTGGGGTGAGGTGCGCTCCCCTCCCTTTTTAAAAAGATTTTATTTATTTATTCATGAGAGACACAGAGAGAGGCAGAGACATAGGTAGAGGGAGAAGCAGGCTCCATGCAAAGAGCCTGATGTAGGACTCGATCCCAGGACCCCGGGATCACGCCCTGGGCCGAAGGCAGACGCTCAACCATTGAGCTACTCAGGCGTCCCTGCTGCCCCCCTTGACTAACCTCGGGGCGGAGGGGGTCCAAGAGAAAAGGCTGATGCCCCCCCCTCCAGATGGATAGGAGAACAAGAGGTGGGCACACACACCAGCAGCCCCGGCCCTCCTCGTTTCCTTACTGTCGTCACCCGGCCTGCACCTTCACCTAGGAGACTCCTATTTTTAGTAGCTTCTTTTCCTGGAAAGGCTGGACGCTCCCTCTGTTGTTCTCTCAGATGACAGTGGTGGTGATACGGCTGGAATATGGTGTTTCCTGCACCGGGATCCTTCATGTCCAGGGGGCGGGGGGGCCTGGACACAGAGATGGCGAGGAAAACTCCCATCCTCTCCTGGGCCTAGGTTAAAATTAGCACAGCGGGCATGGCTTTGACGCAGCAAGCCTGGTGTCCGTCGCCAGGGGCCAAAGGCGAATGAGGCAGTGTACTGCCCTCTGATAACCCACAGCCTGGTGGAGGTGCCCAGTTCATCAGCAGCTGGTTCCATAGCCGTGTGGTGGCTCTGCAACAGGAGATGGTGGCGCCACGCTCCCTCAGATGGGGGGCGGGGGGAGGGGGGCAAGGGACTGAGTGGGGAGAGTTCAGTCTCAGGGTGCTGAGCTGCACACGTCTTGGGGGCATCCAGGTTAAGACATCCAGCAGGCATCTGCTGTGATCCTGTGAGGGCAGCCATCTGGAGGGAAGCTACCGGGTGGAGCTGTGTAACCTGCAGGTGGTAGTTAAGGTCACAGGACAGAGGCAAGAGACGTGCCCCAGGGAAAGTCAATGGGGAGGAGTGGGCAGCCGAGGGCAGGGAGGCGAGGAGGCCAGGGCAGGGAAGTCCAGTGAGAGGAGCCTCGAGGGCCTCCCGGGCATGTGGCAGGTGACACAGAGGTCCCAGGTGGTCACCTGGGCCAGAGCCAGCATGGTATGTGTGGAGGGGGACATGTGGCAGGTGACACAGAGGTCCCGGGTGGTCACCTGGGCCAAGCTGGTGTGATGGTGTGGAGGGGGACGAGGCAGGTGGCGGAGCTGGGGAGCGCGGTGGGTGATTAACCACAGGTCCACTTTTCCCCTCCAGCGGGATTTTTGGGGAGCGGCTCCCCCTCCGCTACTACCTTTCAGCTGGAATGCTGCTCAGTGGCCTTTTCACCTCGCTCTTTGGCCTAGGATATTTCTGGAACATCCACATGCTCTGGTACTTTGTGCTCATCCAGGTACGAGCCTCCGCATTGGGCTCAGACCCCTGCTCCATCATGGGAAGGATCGCTGAGGCCGCTGGTCCCAGCCACCCTCAGTGGCAGATTTGGGCTGTGAATCACCCCTTCCCAGCCCAGTACTCCCCCGTTAAGCTTCGGGGCCCTTCTTACCCCTTCTTGGAATCATGCAGGTCATGAATTTGTTTGCTCGCTATGTCTGCCCTGAGCACGGCCCTGAGGTCCCCGAGAATGCCCGAGAGCCTGGGTCTCTGCAGGGAAGGATCTTGGGCCAGAGGAGAACTCTGCCCATTGCACTGGGGGGGTGGGCTGGGAAAGGGGGTGCTTGCAGCGTGGGCCGTGGAGGGCCCCTCGGCCCAGACGGGTCGGAGGGAGTTTGCGCATGGCCCAGACCGGTCCCACTTACCTCCAGTCTCCCCGCAGATCTGTAATGGACTTGTCCAGACCACAGGCTGGCCCTCGGTGGTGACCTGCGTTGGCAACTGGTTCGGGAAGGGGAAGTGAGTGTGAGGAGGGGGAGGAGCGGGAGGTGCCCCGGGAGGGCTGTGGGTACCAGGAGGCCACGGGCGGCCTTGTGTATAATTTCAGGGTGAAAGGTTAGAGACTTGTTTCCGTCTTGCTGATTTTCACGTTTAGTTGAATGTTTTAGTGACTGAAAAGCATTGCTGGTTTTCTCATTGATCAGGTTTTAAGCACAAGACAGGCCACCTTAGTTCTGCTTCTTTTTTTTTTTTTAATTTTTATTTATTTTTGATAGTCACACAGAGAGAGAGAGAGAGAGAGGCAGAGACACAGGCAGAGAGAGAAGCAGGCTCCATGCACCGGGAGCCCGACGTGGGATTCGATCCCGGGTCTCCAGGATCGCGCCCTGGGCCAAAGGCAGGCGCCAAACCGCTGCGCCACCCAGGGATCCCTTAGTTCTGCTTCTTCCTCATAACAGACGAATTTCCATTTTGCAGGAAGACAAAAATGAAGCCAATAAAACTTTATTATTATTATTTTTTAAAGATTTTATTTATTTATTCATGAGAGACACAGAGAGAGGCAGAGACACAGGCAGAGGGAGAAGCAGGCTCCATGCAGGGAGCCCAATGTGGGACTCGATCCCAGGACCCTGGGATCATGCCCTGGGCCGAAGGCAGGTGCTCAACCACTGAGCCACCCAGATGTCCCTAAAACTTTATAATAAATATTATTATTTTGTACTTGAACTGGCTTCTGTGCAAAAAATAAATACATAAGAGTTGATTTCGAGCAGGAGTTTCTCCGGCTCAGCCCTGCTGACATTTGGGGCTGGATCATTCTGTGTCATGCGGTTATCTTACACATCGCAGGATGTTTAGCATCGTCTACCCACCAGATGCCACTAGCAGACCTGGAGCTGGGACAGTTTAGAATCTCCAGACATTTTCTGGGTCCCCTGGAGGCAGAGTGGCTCTGGTCAAGGACCAGTGCTGTAGGGTAGCAGCTGTGGGACCAGAGGGAAGAGAGGGTGGGGGTGGACATCCTCAGGGTAGGGAGAGCTGCATGTGGAAGCCCCATGGGAGCTGCCCAAGCTGCTGGCTGAGGGGAGCAAGACCCCAGGCCTTGCTGTCACCTGCTTGATGCCAGACAAGTCCTCCCCTTCCTCCCCCATGGTTGTCTTTGGGCTTAGATGCTGGAGGCAACCAGCTTTTTGTACTTGGCCGGAGCAATTGTGATGAACCGTGTGCTTTTGACTCCCCCCCCCCCTTTTTTCCCCTTTCCTTCCCTGTCCTCCCTCCAGGCGGGGGCTCATCATGGGCATCTGGAACTCCCACACATCTGTGGGCAACATCCTGGGTTCCCTGATCGCTGGCGTCTGGGTGAATGAGCAGTGGGGCCTGTCGTTTGTGGTGCCTGGCATCATCACCGCTGCCATGGGCGTCCTCACCTTCCTCTTTCTCATCGAATGTGAGTGGACCCCCTCCCCCTTCTCTTTTCAGGGTCTGAGAGAAGGCAGCTGGCTCTAGGGGGAGGATTATAGGTCATGGGGCTGGAGGACCCGTGTATGGCCTGGGACAAACAGTGTCTCTGGGCCTCAGTTTTTTCCTTTTTTTAAAAAGATTTTATTTATTGGTCCATGAGAGACACAGAGAGGCAGAGACAGAGGCAGAGGGAGAAGCAGGCTCCATGCAGGAAGCCCGATGTGGGACTCGATCCCAGGACCCCGGGATCATGCCCTGAGCCAAAGGCAGGCGCTCGACTACTGAGCCACCCAGGTACCCCTGGGCCTCAGTTTTCTCATTTGTAAAAAAAGAGCCTCTACTTTCTGGGGTTGGTTGAGGTCTCAGCGAGATATGCAGTTAGGACGCCTGGCCCATCGCTGTGCCTGGCCAGTGCTGGCTGGCTCCGCAGGGGAGCAGGGGGAGGTGACCGAGACGGGACACCCCTCATCCGCCGTCCTCTTCCACATCCCCGCGGCCCTCAGGGACGCCCAGCCTGGCAGTGTGGCCACTTTGTGGGCAGAGAAAGTCCACAAGGCAGTAGTGACGCCGGTGGTTGTTCGGGAGCCGGGCCTAGAAGGTGTCTGCGGAGCCCGGGTTCCAGGCTCCCTCGTGCTGGGAAGTAGACTGGCCATTAACTTGGGGGCAGGGGTTCTGGCCTGCTGGGAAGCTTCTTAGAAGGTTGTTTATTTTCAGACCCAGAAGACGTGGACTGCACGCCCCCTCAGCACCACACAAGTGTGAGCCCCCCCCCATCCCGACCCCTGCCCTTCTACTCCATCCGCGGGGGCTGGTCCTGGAGAGGACTCGGGAGTTGGAGAAGGGCCCGTGCGTCAGGCCCTTGGCTTGGCTCCCCCATATCCTGGCTGGGCCTGAAGGACGTTAGTTCAGACGGGAGGGGGCGCGTACCTCTTCCAGCTCAGGAGCCCCTACCTCTTGCACGGGTCGTGCCTCCAGTTGGTGGGAGGTGGCACCTGGACGTGCCCGCAGCACGGGCTCATCTCTGTTCAGGGTGGGCTGGAAGAGCATCAGGACGCCGAGGACCTTGGGAACAGTCCCAAGGAGAGCAGCCTGGAGAACGCCGCCAGGGACTCCAAGGAGCCAAGCGCCCAGCCTGCTGCCATCAGCTTCCTTGGGGCGCTCCGGATCCCGGTGAGAAGTTTGTGGGGGGAGGCAAGGGAGAGGCTCTAGATTTCTCTGCTGGATGCTGGGAGATGGCGGGGGAGGCTCAGGGTGGTCTACGGCTCCCAGAATTTCTTTATAGGAGGTGCTTCGGGTGAGTGGCCAGCTGGGGGAGGTAACGTGGGAGGCTTGTGTTGACCAAGCATTTGAATGCAGGCACCTTGCTCTTACTGAGATTGGCGAGGTCCTGGAGGTGGGTCTGTGTGGTAGGCGGTGGCAGTGCTGGGGGTGCTGAGCACCCCCTGGGGCTACCTCGGGCCTCGGGCCACCTGCACGCCTTTCCCTCACACCCTCTGCCCTGCTCTGCAGGGTGTGGTCGAGTTCTCCTTGTGTCTGCTCTTCGCCAAGCTGGTCAGTTATACCTTCCTCTACTGGCTGCCCCTCTACATCTTCAATGTGGGTGAGTACAAGGGAGGCGAGGTCACCTCTGGTGGGGAGAGGAAACCTGTCATGTGATACATGGGATCCCAGAATATAGTCAGGATGCCTGCTGAACCTCTCCTGGGGCAAAGGGAGACTTCTTCTTCTTTTTTTTTTTTGGTAGTTGGAAGTTAGCCCCTGGCAGTTAGACCTCATGGACCTGATTGGAACCACCTTTCTTCTGCTGGACCAGAGTTGGGAGTTAGGAACTCAAAGTTTTGTTCTGTAATCCTTCCTAACTTCTTCTCTAGTCTTGAGGGTAGGAGCGCCCACCTCCAGCCTGCCGAGGCTCATAGATGAGTGGGATTGGTTGGTGCTTGGAAGGTCTGCCTTTGAATGCTTCCCCCAACCCCGGGAAGAGGGCCTGGTGAGCCACCGCACAGCCTGAAGCCTGGTAGTGAGCGAACACTGCTTTCCTGTCAAGGGGCTGCCTCCTGGGATTGATGCCTTGTGCCTGGGTGGGAGGCACGGCCCTCCTTCGGGGCCTGCACTCCCCTGCCCCTGCCCTCAGAGCTCCCGCAGGGCCCAGGCCCTCCACCCCAGGGTGAGCTGCTCCCTCCAAGCCCTGTGGGAGGGCCAAGGCTTTGCGTGCACTGTACTTGCTCTGAACAGGATGCCATGGAGATTACTCAAGGCCAAATCCCAGCCCAGAACTTGCCCAACAGCCCCATCACAGGGCCTCTCTCAAAGATAAAGGGAGCACGCCAGGGAAGCTCTGTGGACACTAGGACTCTTTGTTTTGTGGCCTTGGTGCTGGCTTCAGAGTATGAGTCAACCTTGAGGGTTAGGCTACAATTCAAGCTTCTGGATATTCCTTTTTCGAATCCTAGGACAAGGCCTGGGACCTGAGGTCCCCATGTGCCTGTGAGTCTCCTTCCTGGCTTTGTTTATTAGCAGAGACTTCAAATGGATGTGGAGGCTCCTGGTGGAGGCCTCCTGAGCAGAGCAGAGCAGAGCAGGAGCGGGGCTGGTGGGGCTGCGGCTCAGTGAGAATAGTCATGACTCCAGGGCAAAGGTGGCCCAGTGGGACAGGGCTCTCCTGGGCCAGCCCCCATGCTTTCAGGGGAAGGCTTTTCTGAGAAGTCAGAGCCAACCTGCAAGGGGAGAAGGAAGTACAGGATAGGGTGTGGGGAAGAGAGGGTGTCCGGTCCCAAACTGCTGCAAATTTACTTATGACCCTGGCAGATGACTTCCCCATGGTCCTCACTCCTTCCTCTGAAAATGGAGGCAGTGGGACTGGATCAGGTGCTCTGTAGCGGTGTTGCTGGCTATGGCACTCCACGACGTTTGCTCCGAGCCCCCAGGTCTGACCACATATTTGTGTTTTCCACAGCTCACTTTAGTGCCAAACAGGCTGGGGACCTGTCCACCCTCTTCGATGTTGGTGGCATCATAGGTGAGGCCCTGCCCTAATCTGCCTTAGGCTCTATTCCCCTTTTCCCTTGTAGGGATGCAGAAGGAAGGGACGGGTCCAATGTGACACGACCTGGGCAGATGACATCAGAGTAAAAAGGGCTCCTGCCTGGCTGGGTAGCCCTAAGAAAGTTCGCCCTTGTGTTTGATCTTCCCATAAAGCAATGGGTGTGGGGAGGGCTTCAGAGAGAAGAGCTCTGCTAGTTCTGGATGCCCATGCCCAGGCTAGTGTTGGGTAGAGCGATGGGGCAAAGCTTGGGGTGCCACGCTAGTGGGAGGCTGTGGTCACCTCTGGAGCAGCAGCGCGTGAACCAGTTTGTGTTCTAGGCGGCATCATGGCGGGACTCATCTCCGACTACACCAATGGCAGGGCCACCACCTGCTGCGTCATGCTAATCTTGGCTGCCCCCATGGTAGGTACAACCTCAAGAGCAAAATGCACATGCTCGAACATACCTGTGCAGGCTGTGGAAATGCATGCACACCTGGGCACACGCCTGTGTGTGTGTGTGTATGTGTGTGTGTCCATCCCTGTGCATGCTGGGGGCGGAGAAGCCAAGGGAGGCACAGGAAAGAGATTCATTTTGGGAAGGGATTAGCAAGGATCTGGCCTTGGTGGAGAAGGAACAGACCAGCTGCTAAACTTCCTGGCCAAGAAAAGAATAAGAAATTAAGGTTAGTTATTAGATAAGGTTAGATATGAGAAATTAAGGTTAGATACTCTCCTTTTTGAGAAATAGGAAACGATAGATGACCACATCTTAGACCCTCCATCTCCAGGACAATTAAAGACCAAGAAGTCTGGGTTTGGGAAGGAAAAGGAGTAAGGTGACCTCTGGGGTTCCCCGGCCAGACTTCTAGGCTCCAGTCTAAGCCAGGCGGCCGATGGGGAGTCCTGAGTGTGACTGCATCTCCCTCTTCCTCTCCCAGATGTTCCTGTATAACTCCGTGGGCCAGAACGGGATAACCAACTCCGTAGGTGAGGGGCGACTGCCCGTCCTGCTGGCACACAGGAAGCCCACTGCCTTGGGGGGCCCCCTGGAAGCTGGTTTGGGGGTGACGGTGGGAGGCTTGGGAAAGTGGAGGTTCTCAGCCTGACACCCGGGGGGGGGGTCTCACCTGCTTTGGGGCGGGGGCTGGCGGTGGCCCCTCACCCCTAACCAGCTGTCCCTGTTACTGCCTCAGTAATGCTGATCATCTGTGGGGCCCTAGTCAATGGCCCTTACGCGCTCATCACCACCGCCGTCTCTGCTGACCTGGTAAGCGGGCCGCCTCCCTGGAGCCTCCCTGGGGGATGATTCTGGGGGCTTGGTTAGGGCCTGGGGTCTCCAGGCCCGCATCCCTCCCCCCTCCCTGGTGCACAGAGATCCTGGCACCTGAGACCCTCAAAGTCATCAGCACTGGCCCCCCTCCTTTCCTCTCCACTCCAAGCCCCTGCTGCTGCCTTTCCCCAAGTCAGCCCCCCAGTCCTGGTGCTGCCTCTTCACCTGGGCCTCCCCACTCCGCTGTGTCTCCCCAGGGAACTCACCAGAGCCTGAAGGGCAACGCAAAGGCACTCTCCACTGTCACGGCCATCATTGACGGCACTGGGTCCATAGGTCTGTGACTCCCACTCTTGGCTCCTGGCAGCTGAGCCCTGAGCCCTGTCTTGAGCGCACTCCTTGGAATGCTGCCCCCGGTGGGCAGGCAGGTTGGGGCTCCTTGCCGGGTGCCCTTCTCTGATGTTGTGTTCTGCGCAGGTGCGGCTCTGGGGCCTCTGCTGGCTGGGCTGATCTCCCCCACAGGCTGGAACAATGTCTTCTACATGCTCATCTCTGCCGACATTCTGGCCTGCCTGGTACGGGTTCTCGGGGGTACACAGATGGGCACCGGTGGGGGTCAGTGTCCTGTCCTGCCAGGCCGGATCCCCGGAGGTGCAGAGCATTGGCCACAAGGGCCTATGGGACAGTGAGATCACCTGCCCTACACTCAGAACCACGTTCCCCAAGGGGGACCCTGCCAGATGAGACCCTGTGCCCACGACCTTCCTTCCTCCCAGCCCCCTGCTCACCTAGCACTGGGGACTCCCCGTGCATTCAGTGCTGATATGGCCCTCCCCTCCCCCTGTGCCTCGGATTCCCCGCAGCTCCTCTGCCGGTTGGTGTACAAAGAGATCCTAGCCTGGAAGTCATTCCTGAGCAGAGACAGAGGGTGAGTCCTCCCGACTGCGGTAGCCTCTCCTCCCCGACCTCTCTTCTTATGGGAGTTCAAACCAGTGCTCAGTTGCTCGGGACCCAGTCTGAGCCCACCCGCAGCCCAGACTGGGGCCGGACCCTGGGGCTGCTCCATGCCCCTCCATCCCCACTCTCAGCCCTGCTAATGTGTCCTCTGTTGTCCCCATGTGTCTCCATAGTTCTAGTCTGGCCCTAACCCACCCGCGGTAGTATTTTCCTCAAGTCCCATGACTTTCGTGAGTATTTCCTTCAAGTCCGTGGCTAAGGTGCCATTCGAGTGGGGCCTGCATGCAAATCTTCTCTCCTCCATGTGATTTTTCCAACTTTCTCTTTCCCCTTGGGGGCCAGCTCCAAGACTCTCCACCCCAGCAGAGCATGGTGCTTGGGAAGTGTTTCCTAAGGAGCTTGAGCTGCCACCTGGGCTTGGCAGACTCTTCTCCTTAGGGAGGGAGCGGCAGGGCCTTGGCTGTACCCCGAGGACAGAGGCAGGACCCAGGGACATCGTTTTCCCTCTGAACTCGGGCTCTGAGCCCTACATGCCTCCTAAAAGTTCACAAACCGACATCATCTGGCCTGTCTGCCCGGGGTGTACAGAAAATGGCAACTAGAATCAAAGCCTTTGGGATAAGATTGCAATCAAGCCTCGGTGGCTGGCCTGGTGTGTTCTGTCTATTGCCCGGTGGTGGCGGGTGTGGAGGCCACACGTAGTGGCCGAGGCAGAGCCAGCAAGAGGCTGGGCTGCGTGCTGGTGCGGAGGGCAGGCTCTCGCTGGCCTTCCCGCTCTCCTTCTGAGCAGGCCGTTATGGCTGAGGAGCTGGCCGGAGCCGTGGACCTGTCCCTGGATGGTAAATGTGTGGAAGGAGCCCCTGGGCTCAGGGTGACCAGCCCCACATCCGGGAAAGCACTTTCCCTTCGAGATGTTGTCTTCCAGGTTCTCTGGGAGAAAAACCGAGGGCAGGAGGCAATAGCCCAGCTCCATCCTGCCTGCCCTGGTGGGGGCAACGGGGACCTCCTCCACCTGCCCTCCTGGGCCAGGCTTGAGGGGAGACTGGGAGGGCCCAGAGAGCAGCAGGAAGGGGGGATGAACATTTAGTGGACATCTGCTCCCCCTGGAATGGAGTCTGACTTCAGACCCAGCCGCTTACCTCTCAGCAACCTCCAGAGGTCGGTTCTGTCCTATAGCGATGAGAGAATGGAGGCTCAGAACTCATGCAATGTGCCTGAGGCCTTCAGCAGAGCCTAAATTTGAACCCAGGTGTGTGGGGGCTGGCTTTTCTCTGCACTGCTGCCACCCTGAGCTGGGCCTCTGAGGGAGGCCGGTGTGTGGGGAGCAGAGGAGCTCCTGCTAGGGCAGAGGGAACCAGGAGTCCCTGGGCAATCCTGACTTCCCTGCTCACTTTCATGTATCAGACCGTGGACACACCCTCTGAGCCTCCAAAGCCTTCTGTGTATGGCAGGGGGGCACTCACCCCTAAGTCCCTGACAAGGTGATCTGAGGCTGAGACGAGATGGGCTCTGTGATTCTGCTTTGTAAAACTGTCAGAGGCGACACCAGCTTTGCAAGGTTCTCATGGTCATCTTGGCTTGCTGTTTGCAGCTGAGGGGGTGAAAGGGAGCCCTCAGTGATAGAGAATGCGGGTGAGAGGCAATTACTAAGGGGCCCTATAAACCTGCCTTCCCCGGCCCCACCATGGGGGCAGGAGCTTAGTCTGTGTCTCACTTTCTCTTCCCCCACCTTTCCACCCTCCTGCAGGTATAAAGAAATATGAAGCCCTGATTGAAGGAGAAGCCTGGAGGACCTCAGCCAATTCCCCAAGTGCTTCCCCGACCCCACTGCCTCACCGGGGAGGGGGGGCAAGACCACGGAAACCACCCCCAAGGACTGTGGGAGCCTCTTGACCTGACACCAGCCAGCCCGGGGAGGGGGACTGCCAACACGAGGACTGCAGGGCTCGTGGCCCAGGACTCTGGAAGCTGTGGGCAGAAGGGATGGGGATCAGAGCTTGAGTGGTGTCTCCAGCTTGGTAAGGGGAGGGTAGGCTCAGATCTTGCTTGTTCAGATTCCAAGAGGGAAGGCAGAGGCCCGACCTGGCCGAGGCCTGGCAAGGGCGTGTCTCTCCTTCCTGTGTTAAATCTGAACCTCAGCAATCGGCCTGTTGTGTAGGGGCGGATTTCTGACCCTATTTCAGAGCTGCCCAGCCTCGCTCCCTTCCTTTGTCCACGTGCCGGTTTTCTCATGTATTTCCCCACGTTGGAACCCCTTCTCCCCTGCACTGGGTCCTGTTCTTGACTCCTGACCCGAGTCGATTAAAGTGTTGTTGCTGTATCCTCCAGGGCCAGGACTGGGGAGAGGCAAGGGGGACAAGGCAGGGAGGCATCACTCTTGGGCTTGGGCTGGGCCAGGACTGGGGAGAGGCAAGGGGGACAAGGCAGGGAGGCATCACTCTTGGGCTTGGGGCTGGGCCACCCTGGACAGCGAGGGCCTCCATTGCCCCAGGCTCAGTCCCAGCCCTCGGTGTCCCCAGGGGGAGGTGGGGGGCATGTGTCAGGGCAGTGCCGGGGGCATGACTAAATCCCCAGCGTGTGGGGCAGGGATGGTGGCAGGGCCCTGCCAGTGATGACAACGAGTGCTTGCCGCCCGCTAGCCCCGCTCCGGGAGTGGAGGGGCAGAGGGCACGGTGGGACGATGCCCTGAGCACCCACACCAGGGTGATGGCCCGAGCAGGGAGGCGGCCCGGAGCTGCCTCTTGTCCCCCGTGCTCCTGAGCACTTCTCCTGCCTCCCCGAATCCTGGAGCGCTGCAGGCCGGGCTGGCCCTGGCCCTCCTCTCTGACCGCCGCCGCCAGCACAGTCCGGAGTCCGCTGGCCAGCCGCGCCCGGTGCTGGGTGTCCCGGGACTGCTCCCCCCCCCCCCTCCGCGGCTGTCACAGCCGGCACTCCCTGCGGAGATGCTGGGGACAACACTGATGATAGTGGGTGGTGGCCCAAGCGGGAGCTGAGCCCACGCGGCCGGGCATGAACTGGGACACCAGGGCCGGGGCCGCACTCACGGGGGTGCACACGGCCACGGTGACCGCTGTAAGCCTCCAGCTGCCTGACACCCACTCTGACGTCAGGAACCCCTAGGTCCTCGGGTGCCCCCCATCCGCCCACCCTGGGCCGGGGCTACAGTGCCCAGCCTTACATCCAGCCCAGCGTTCTTAGAACCTTCTTTCAGGGCAGAGGCATCTGCGCGGCTCGCCACTGAGGGAAGCCACTAGATGGTGCCATCGTCCCCCGCAGAGCCCAGCGTGGGCCACGCACTCCTGCCAGCAGAGACAGGGCCAGGGGTGCTGTGTTCTCCAACTTTCAGCTGTCTCTCTCTCTCTCTCTCTCTCTCTCTCTCTCTCTCTCTCTCTCTCTCTCTCCTGCTTCGGGTCAGGGTAGGCTGGCAGGAGACCTCCTCCTGTGGGGGAGACTTCCTCTTCCCTAGCCTCCCCCACTGGCAGGCCTGAAGCCTGTGTCCTGGCCGGGAGGACAGTCCTAAGGGGACCCACCTCCGAGGACGAGATGGGCTGCAGGGACACCTGCAGACAGTATTAAGGCTCCCTCCCCGCTCCTGCGGAGCCTGCCTGGGGGAGGGATAAGACGGAAATTCTGAACAATAGGAGAGAAACACTGGAGATGGGGGGTGGGGGGTGGGGCTGAGAGGCATCACCATCCCTCCTCCAGCCTGAAGGAGGGGGGAGGCCGGAGGGTGATCCCAGGGCAGTTGGTTTGCTGGATCCCCCAGGGCAGTTAGTTTGCTGGGAATGAATGAACGCGAAAGGCGTCAGAAGGGAGAATGAATGGACCCGGCAGGCAGTTAGCATGATGGGGGGGGGGGGTGGAAGAGGGAGGACATTAAAAGAAAGGCTGAGCAAGCCCCTACAGTGCAGCATGGGGACCCGAAAAGCAGCGGGATGTGCCCGGCCTGGCTGGGGGGCCGGGGGTAAGCCTGGCATGGGGGGTCAGCCCCAGGTCCCAGAATCAAGGCCGCGGGTGGGAGTTTGGGGGAAAGAGAGAAGGTGGAAGAGCCCCAGCCCTGCCGTCTGCCCCTCCGCACTGGTCTCTCAGGTCCCGGGTTCCCTGCCCACCTCAGCTCTGGGCACTGACTGTTCCCCGGAAGCCTGCTACCTGCCTTCTCTCCGGGCCTCAGCGCTCACTTGGGGCTAATGCAGGAGCATTACGTTAATTAGTTATTCATTTAATTTAACTTCACATTTGGTCTCAATTAAGCTTAAAGTGTTCTTCCTTATAGATGTTACAATAGCACTTGTAATTAAAAAGCAATAACTCTTTGCATTTCTCCTTTAGAGAGCCATTGGGAGGCTGGGGTGGTGTGCGGTTGCCGTGGGGGGGCGGGGAGGCAAGAAGTAATGAGAAGAAAGGGAACCCTTGGCACTCTGAGGCTTTTGGCAGGACTGAGGTTGGGGGAAGGAGACTCAACACATCATGGGGGTGGGGTGGGGGCCCTGGGGACCGGAGGGTGCTCTTGGAGATAAAGGGGCAGGCCCTGGATATAAAGCAGCAAGGTGGGCAGAGAACGGAAGGTGGAGGGTGGGAGGAATCAAACCCTAGGCATGGGGGGTGGGCCATATATTCTCCAGTAGGCAGAACAGCACCCACCCCCACCCCCTGCAAGACGTCCACATCCTAATTCTCAGGACCCATGAATATATGTTAACTGCAGATGGGACTAGGACCATGAGATGGGGAGGCCATCCTGGGTTCTCAGGGTGGGCCCACTGTGATCACGAGGCTCCTTATAAACCACAGGGGAGGCAAGAGTGTTCGTTGTCAGGTTAGAAGATGGGGCTCTGAGGACAGAAGGGGACCCTGGCCGAGGAATGTGCAGCTTCTAGAAACTAGAAAGGGAAAGGAAATGGGATTCCCCTCTAGAGCCTCCCAAAGCTTTATATGAGCCTCGTGAAACCTACTTCAGACTTCTGACCTCCAAAACTATAAGATAGGAAATCTGTACTGTTCTAAACCACTAAGTTGCGGTACTTTGTTACTACAGCAATAGGATGTTATTACCTGTTCCCCAGTGTAAAGCTCCATTTGGAGACAGACAAGCCAAAAAAAACCCCAAAGAGGGCAGCCCCGGGGGCGCAGCGGTTTAGCACCCTGCAGCCTAGGGTGTGATCCTGGAGACCCTGGATCGAGTCCCACATCAGGCTCCCTGCATGGTGCCTGCTTCTCCTTCTGCCTGTGTCTCTGCCTCTCTCTCTCTCTCTCTGTGTGACTGTATGAATAAATAAATAAAATCTTTAAAAAAAAAAAAAGATACCCCTAAAGATGGAAAAAAAAAAAGGTGGATGGGCTGTCTATGGAGCATCTGGGTCCAGCGTAAATACCAGCTGTGTAACCACCCGAGTTCTCTGAAGGCTGGACCGTGCCACATGCGCATTCTGTACTGTACCCAACACAATGGGAGGAAAACCAGAAAAAGAAACTTTCTCATTCTCTTTGTGGTGTTGGATCCTGATTTTTATCCCTGCTGTCATTTCTTAGGTCCCAGGAAACAGACAAGAGGGTGTGTGTTGGGAGCTGGAAACTTTTTTTCCCTTGAGTAAACAGCAACCACCAGTAATGGTCTGCTAGAAACCGAGATCAAGAAACAAAAACATGCTTGGTTTGTGGCTTTGATTCTTCCACTGGCACCTCTGAAAACCAACCCAAGTATCCAACATTCCAGGTGGACAGCATTTAAGAGAGGGACGGCTATGCATGTCCTGGAAAACTCAACCTATGGGCTGCTCCACTGTCTCTCAGCCCGTGAGGAGCCAAAGTCCAACAGGCAAAGGCCCACCAAAAACACAAGGTGGATGAGTGCCGTTCTCAGGTCCTGTGTGGCTTTTAACTGCTTTCTCTCTCAGACTCCTGCCCAATCCTCTTTCTGGGTTTTCTGTTAGCTGAGCCTTTTTGGTATTTCTGTCAACTAGATTTGCGTTGCTTGACCTTGGTCCCTCATTTTTCTTTCTTTTTATTTTATGGAGCAACATAGTATAATATAAAGTATGTAAAAGATTAGACTGGAGCCAAACCACCTTGACTTCAAACCCTGGCTCCTATTTAACCCTGAGCTGACTGACCTCACCACTCTGTACCTGGTCCCCATCCAGGACATGGGGATATTAAGAGCACTGACTTCATAAGGGTTGCTTATGAGGATCATTTAATATTTACAAAGCATTTACAGAAATGCTTAGCACATGTTTGGTAAATATAATAAAAATTGCGATTTCAGCCTGTGAGGAATAGAATATTTCCAAGTATTAGGATGGAAATAGAGATTAAAGATTGAATCCTATGAACTAAAAAAAAATCCCTCCCCAGCCTGAGTTCCTGCACTTCTGTGAGGATGACTCCCACATCTGGAAACTAGTTCCTACGTAACAATAGCCAAATACTTAAAAGTTTAAGCCAAGAAGTTATGATGAAATATTTTTATTCATGCTACAGATGCTAATCAGAAATTCTACAATGGAAGTTTTATGTTTTCAAAGACATGGGTTTAGGGAAAGGATGAGATCAATAGCTATAAAATACTATTAACTAATGTAGAAACAACGAGTTGTTTGTGAGCAAAAAATGATCTTTATTATTATTTGAGGAGTGAAATGTCAGGAATCCTGATGTCAGGTTTGAGCCCCACTAGTAACTAGGGAAGTTTTAACATCCCTTCCTCTCTTTGCCTGTTTCTCTTCCATAAAATAATTGCAGCAGGTTTCTGTATGCTTTGAAAAAAAAATCAAAGTAAAATAAAAATGCTTCAGCTGAAGCAACAGTGGAGTTGACAGAAGAGTTTATGTCTCAGAGAACAGAACAAGAAGTCAAGAAGTGGAATCCCTGATGTTAGAATTAAATGAATGGCAGCACACGTGGTACGAAGCATGGACTATGCATTTCCCAGGACCTGAATGTTGGCACAATAACTTTGATGAATTTTTAAATAGCTGATACCACATAGCAGCAAAGAATGTTAGCTTTACTTCCATTTGTATAAATGAGAAATTTAAGGAACTTGTCAAAATATTACCTGGTAAGCGTGTCTGGCGGACTTGAGGGACTTTGTAAACTATAACACGCAGCGCCACCTAGCGGACTGGGCCAATGTCTCCGTCGTGGGGGCGTGTGGTGTCCTGCTAATTTAGCTTTTGCCAGGATACAATTTTAAGAGGCTATGAAATCACCTGTTTTCCATGTAGAACTAACTGTTGATTTACTCTCCCTCTCCACCTAGTAAACAGTGGGGATCACCAGTCTTTCTGCTACAGGATCCCCTCTGGGTAGGGCACAGCACCACCTGTTCTTTTTTTTTATTTATGATAGTCACAGAGAGAGAGAGAGAGAGAGGGGCAGAGACATAGGCAAAGGGAGAAGCAGGCTCCATGCACCGGGAGCCCGATATGGGATTCGATCCCGGGTCTCCAGGATCGCGCCCTGGGCCAAAGACAGGCGCCAAACCGCTGCGCCACCCAGGGATCCCAGCACCACCTGTTCTAAGGCCATGATCAAAGAATTATGAATGGGACACTAAGATGGCCTCTACGCCCTGTCTCCAAGGAAGGTGGTGAGCCCAGGGGGTGCTATGTCAGACTCTGTAGGGTGCCCCATGTAGGACTCTCAGTGACATTCATGTTTCAGCTATCTACTTCTTATCGCAACCTGTGGTTGTTTTTTTGTTTTTTAATGGTTGGCCATAACTGCCTAGAGTATGAAGTTAGAGAATAATCTAGCAGTCATTTCCTCACGGCTGGTAGTGCGATCTACAGAAGGCAGGCCAACCTAAGAAACACTTTGTACAAAGTGTATTTTTGCCCTTAACACACAAACCTGTCATTTAAATCGTGCAAAACACACATACACATGCGTTCGCACTCACACACGTACACACACACATTAGCTAGCCATGGTGTTTTAGTTTCCAACCTTAACACATTTTTTCCCATGTAGTCATCCAAAACTTCATAGCTATTACCCATTGATCTTATAGTTGGACACCTTTGTTGGGGAATAAAAAAGATGGATTCAAGGTCAGAACCTACAAGTTTTCCCAGATTTGCTTTGTCAGCAAGTCTTTCAGGAGGTGACAAATGGCAGCCTGTGCTTGTTAGGAGTCCATGCTCCACTTGGGCTGGCTCAGTGTTTCTGCATGGAGCATCTGCACAGGCATCTGGAAGCTTCAGTGCAAGTGTCCAGAGAAGAGCACACAGCCTGACTGCCCATTCGCCCTACTTCCTTCCACATGTCTGCATTCTCCTTTCTCTCCTCCAATCTGCTTAGAGAGATGTTTCTCCTTTCTTTTTTCACCTGTAGGCCCTAGGACAGATGAAGAGATGATTTCCTTTGAATTGTTCTGTGACAAAGCCTTACCTGCAAAGGTTTTCCAAACTAGTAAGATAGAGACAGTTCAAGTGCAGAAATAAATACACCTGGCTTTCACCAGTCCACGACTCTCCCAAATCACCTATTCTTTCCTCTTTTAATTTAGAGCTTAGCCTCTGCTGGGGTATCATCTCTACACTGACAATAGGATCCAGGAGGGAAAGTGAAGGAGACATGGCCCTGACTTCCTTAAGCTCTCAAAGTTCCACAAAGCTCAGTGTGTATTCTTTTTAGTCTGAGACAGATCCCAGAGCCTGCCACACCTCGGTGTGCACGCTGGTTGTTATATGATGCCTGGGCAAGTTAGCTCAACTCTTTAAGCCTTAATTTTTTCTGCTTTAAAACCAGATGGTAACAAATATATGGTAAAATTTAAATACACTGAATTACAAGGGAACTTGTATACTACTGGCACATAGCTCAGCACATGCCCAAAGTTTTCTTTCCAACTTGTTTTCTGGTTCTTAATTTTAAGCCAGAAGATCCTTCTTCATTTAGTTCTAGGGAGTCAGGAGGAAACTTCCAAAGTGGAACTATCCTAGAGCCCCTCCATTTAATTATAATTTTGGTTGATGTGGGATCTGAGACCGGTATAAAATTATATCTAATCCTAGGAATGTATGTATATTCCTTACCAGCTTTGGAGAAAAAGCTACAAAGATAAAAAGAAATGATAATAACCCAAAATGGATCCTATGACAATTTAAAAAGGCACTTGAAAGCCAGCAAATGCTAAAAGAGAAAGAATCCGGAGATTTATAGCAGCAAGACAAGTAACCAACATTTCCATACCTTCTTCTAATACCCAAGCAACTCTCAAATAGAGAATATAGATTGAGAAAGCTGTGGCCAAGACTCTGAAGTGAAAGTCAGTCCTCCGATTGTTTATTGCTTTACTAGAGCAGAGGGAAGTGACACCCATTGCCTGTACAGATTCTGTGGCACCATATGCAAAACTGGTCAACAACCAGTACCTGGGTAACTCTTCCAACTCATCCCATTAAAATAATCTTTTGAACTTTGAGTGCCTTTCCTTCCCAAATTATCCCACCCTTATAACAAAGAATCTTGTGTATTCTCAAAAGGACAAGAGTCTTCAGTCTACTGGACAGAAGAAACCAAAGTGCTCCTTTTCCCAAAATCCATTTACTGATGTCTTGATTGAAAATGTACTGGAAGCAGGTCACTGTTACCATTACCTTTTCAAAACAGATTGAAAACCTGAGGAACAGGTGCTAAGAAGACCACACTATCCCTCTGAAGATGGTGAGAATCATCTTGGCAGGGCCAATTTTGCAACCCCATTTCTGGAAGCCAGGACTCAAGGGATTTGCCTTAGTCATGAATGGATATTTCTCCGATCTTAAGGCATGAAGGCTGTCAAAATAAGGCTCCGAAGAGTACCTTTCTGCTCATCAGTGACCTCAGAAGTGAAGGATAGAATGGTTTGGTCTTCCTGAGTAGTGCTCAGTAGGACCGCAGCGGTTTGGCATAGACTGGCTCCAGGATATGATGAATGAGAACCAAAAACAGGCCTCCAAGGAAGACAGCAGTGAGGAAAGCCAGCAGGACATAGCGGCCAATGAAAAAGGAATCCACAATCTGTAGAAAGAAACATCAAAAATGAAATTACTATCACTTCAGCACCCTGCTTGTGCTCATCTGAAATCTTTGATGAGTTGGCCCAAAGTCCATTTCTATTTGTGACTTCCAGTAATGTCTTGCTCTGAATCTCCTCTGCAAATGACTAAGAAAGAACCTTAACACCCTGAGCCGGAAATAAGAGATAAAGATAAGATTAATGAAGTACAGGGAAAAAAATGGCTCAATTTAGAAGGAGGCTCATAAACACTGCAAAGACCTTGGATGAGCTCTTTTATGTCTTGAAATCAGTTATCTGAAAGAGTTCATGAGAAACTTGCTTGCTTGGTCTTAGAAAAGCTCATTTTTGTTGTTAACTTTTCTATTATGGATATTTTACTTTTTAAAAAGATTTTATTTATTTATTCATGAGAGACACACAGAGAGAGGCAGAGACATCACCAGAGGGAGAAGTAGGCTCCCTGCGGGGAGCCTGATGCAGGACTCAATCCTGGGACCTCAGGATCATGCGCTGAGCTAAAGGCAGATGCTCAACCACTGAGCCACCCAGACGTCCCTATTATGGAGAATTTTAAACATATAAAAATATAACAGCATAATAACCCCCATATATGCAAGATCAAGCCCCAAAATCATCAACCCATTCATTGCTGATTCAGGAGAGTTCATTTTCAAAATGGAAAAGTGATTCTTTAAAACTTTCATCAGAAGGGTCCTGAACCCTGACATTCATAATCCAGCGCTCCAAGGCTTAGGTTAAATGACCATTTGCCTGAGACACTGAAATGTTGAAAGGATAGATAACGTGCCCCAAATCATACAGTTGGGTGCCTGCACTCATACTTGAGGCCCTAATGCTGTTGGTCTTTGCGGACAAAACCTATACTTAGAGTTGGCTCTGCCCACCTGCCTACTGTCCACTGCCAGAGCTCTACTCTTCCCAGATCCAATGAGTGGTGCTTAAATCAGGGCAGGAAAAGGCAATTTAATCTATGAGCCTAATGGAACTGGAACATGAACCAAGTGACAGGGTGACTTCACAGCTTCCAAAAGGAAGGGACTCTAAAATACCTGAAAGGCAGTTATGGTGAACAGAACAATGGCCCCCAAATGCCCACATCCTAATCTCCAGAAATAGTGAATATGTTAGATTACATGGCAAAAGAGAAATAGGGCTGTAAATGGAATTAAGGTTGCTAATTGGCTGACTTTAAAATAGGCAGATTAGCCTGGATTATCCAATCCAGGTGGGCCCAGCATAGTCACAAGGGTCCTTACACATGGCAGAAGGAGGTGGAAGAAAAGGTCAAAGAAAGAGATGTAAAGATGCAGGTAGAGTCCGCGAGATGTTTGCTGGCTCTGAAGATGGAGCAAGGGAGCCACTAGCCAAGGGCTGCCTCTAGAAGCTGGGAAAACAAACAAATTCTTCCCCAGAACCTCTAGGAAGGCATTCAGCCCTGCCAACCCCTGACTTTAGCCCTGTGAGACTGCGTTTGGACTTCTAACATACAGAACTGTGAGATAAGACGTCTGTGTTGTAAGCCATAGAGCGGTGGTGATTTGTTACAGCAGCAACAGGAAGCTAATACAGTGGCGATGCCCAGACTACCTGTCAAGTCCTAGCACTGCTCTGATCGCAGAGATCCAAAGATACCAAGAAGGAAAGGGCTGCTCCAGAGATTACCCCAACAGCCAACTTACAACAAAGGTCAGTTTGATAAAACAGCTTTAACATAACTTTGACCTTGGCTCCTGTACCGAACAAGTCTCTCGTGGGCTACATGTTTGCTCGTTTGACACGTTTCACTTTTTAATTAGCCAATTAGCAGGCCTTAGGTGCAGAAGGCCCAGGTCATGTATTATTGATACAGTATTGAGCCAGGCTGCTGCAGGGGCCAGTTCTCAAAGCCTGAAAATGAAAACACCAGTTCTGCTGGCCATGCTGACAGACATATTTTGCTCAAACATCCTTCTCTCCTGGGTCTGTAACTCCTATGACGGAGGATAGAGGGATTGAATTCAAAACAGTATTTTTGGTTCTGCGCCCTTTTTCCAATATTCACGTCTACAGCGGCCCAGAAATATGGCCCTTCATACTCTCTCCCTCTCAGGGAAACAGAGGCGGGAGTCTCTTTCTGGCTCCCACACTTGGTACTTGCACCTTGACAGAGCAGTTTTCAAATGTTGAGAAAAATACCTGCTATGTGTGGAAATGATTCCTTAAATCTGTGTGGTATTATGTGCCATGGACTTTTCAGAACAAACTTCCTCTCTTTTGCCACAATCAGTCCTAGATAGGGTTAGAAACATGCACCAATTTTAGTTCAGAACTTGGATAATTTTGTGTACTGTGGTCTAGTGTCGACAACTCACCCATAAAATTCCCATTCAGTTTCTGTCGAGTACCCAACAATGAAGATTTTGCAGACCTCAGCTTGAATCCTTGTTCTGCCTCTTCCCACATATGTATGACCTTGGGCCAGTTACTTTAGCCTCTTAGAGCCTCAGTGTCCTTACCTATAAAATGGGAATAGCACTATCTCATACTAGTTATAGTTGTCTTAAGGTTTAAGTGAGATATGCTGAGATATGCAAACAAGGTGCCTAGCACACAACCTCACACACAGTAATCCCTTAAAAAATGTTAGATGAGGTGCCCGGGTGGCTCAGTCGGTGGAGCGTCCTCTTGATTTCAGCCCAGGTCATGATCTCAGGATCCTGGGATCGAGTGCTGTGTTGGGCTTTGCATTCAGCCAGGAACCTGCTTAAGGTTCTCTCTCTGCCTCTCCCCCTGTCTTCCTCTCTTAAAAAAAGAAAAACGTGAGCTAATGTCATCATTATTACTTTAAAAATGAAAATGGGAGGTTGAGAGGAAAGAAGCTGCTAGAATGAGTGACGGGAAATAAGTGAATACCATTATCAAGATCTTAGGGTAAAGCCAGAGCCCCAGTCAGGAATGAAGTAGATGGGTGGGGTCTCCAGAAGGACTGTGAGCGAAGTGGTAACAATCCCTCTAGAGAGGTGGGTGCTGGAGGATGGGGTTCCAGGAATGAGTGGCAGCCCATCCCCCCAGACAGCCATTGGTACTGAATTCAGCTGTCTCTACAACTTCTGCTTTTCACAGAAATGCTCTTTCCCCACCAATCTTCTTTATGGAGAGTACTCTCTTGAAAGCATGCGTGGAGTAATTGAAACACATGGGGATGGACAAGCTTGCCACTCAGCACCCTGAGGGCATTGTATGCTTTGGCAGGGATCTAGGTTTCTGAGCCCCGATTACCAGGATGGGGACACTTGCATTTCAGGGCCAGGTGCTATTCCTGTTCCTAAGTCATTTCCTCTTCTCCAGCCCCACTGTGTCAGGTGGTTTTTGGATGCACTGCTCATTCAGCTTGATGCTCAGTGGGGACACACTTGAACCAGGCATCTGACTGCCCCGTGGTGTTGCATTTGGGAATCAGTGTGAGAGTCTCATCCTGGGTGAAAGGACTGGGCAATGTAAAACTTCCCCTGGGCTTTCCCCACCGTGTGTTAACTTTATGCTTCCTACACATTTCAGCTGACCTGACGACCTGAGACCTGATGTAGGGGAGCACCTTGGAGCAGGATAGCGGTCTAGACCAAGAAAGAGAAGAGTTATGACTCAGGAGGCAAAATTAAGCCAATGGTTTTACCTTCATTTCAACCTCTGGGGCTGGGACTTCGCTGGCTCGAGGGAAGAGCAGCAGAACTGATGTGATGATCAGAGCACCGAGGAACACAAAAATGATAGAGAACCTGGGGTCAAAAGACAGAACGTCACGAGCCTGGTTTACAGATTCCTCTCTAATCAGTTAGGTCTGGACTGGCTCTTCCCTGGAGCCAATATTCTAAGTTCCAGTCCCTTAACAAGGCACAGAGCCCTGCCCACACTGTCCAGTGAATTAGAAATACTCTCCCCTTCTTCCTCATGGGTCCCCAACTGGATGCCTTCCTGTTGATTCCTGGTGATTCGAGATTCCTAAGAATGGGAATTAGTACTTTTTGTCTCTGTACATTCATGATCATGAAAAATCAGAGCAGCCCTTCCCTCTTCTCAACTTCTCTGTTTGTCTTTAGACTGGAATACTCTGGTAGATCACGTAGCTCGCTGCTTTGTGTGGACACTGTCTGGCCAGAGCGCGACTCTGCAGTATGCTCAGGGTCAGTATTCTGAGGCCAGTCCCCAAGAGAGAGCCAAGCCATCGGCACTTCTGCTGTGTCCCCAGGCCCAGGTTAGGGCCTTAGGGACAGACGGAGCATGTGCTCTCTTAAGTCTGAACAATTAAGAAAGACACACACATACACCTCCGAGAAATTCAGCAGGCAGAGAATGCGGATTTCCTTTTTGTCTCTCCCATATCCTCCACAGTGAGAGCTGGAAAATATACCACTTCCCTTCTCCTCTCACCTCCGCTTCAGAGCATAAATAACACCGTCAGTGCTTATGATAACAGGTTAAAATGCAACTCATTCAAACTGCCAGTAATTACAAAAATGATCTTCTGGATTCTAAATGTTTAATGAGCATCAGCGATTTCGCTTCTAATTGCTTTTACCTTGGACTCCCAGCTGGAGAGAATGCCTTACCTGGCTATCCCCGAGGCTCTGGATAACAGCACACACAGCAGCAGCACCAGCACCCAGAGCAGGGCTAGGATGAACACGCCGGCCCCCACCCCGAGCACGGTGCCAGCCATCTGTGGGGGAAACGAAGCATGAGCACCCCCACTCGGCCCTGGAGCCACCCGGGCACCAGGTGCCATGCGCCACTCTCCCTGCACTGGTGCTACCTATCTTCAGCCCTCTCCTGGCTGTGCGAGGGCAGTCAGACAGGTGCAAATCCAAATACAGAATGTCCGAATTCAGTATGATGAACTTTTTTATTTTTTTATTTATTTTATTTTTTTTAAAGATTTTATCCATTTATTCATGAGAGACACAGGGAGAGAGAGGCAGAGACACAGGCAGAGAGAGAAGCAGGCTCCATGCAGGGAGCCCGATGTGGGACTCGATACCAGGTCTCCAGGATCACACCCTGGGCTGAAGGCCGATGCCTAACCACGGAGCCACCCAGGCGTCCCAGTATGATGAACTTCTGATTAGAATTATCAGAATACAGGTCTTTGGGAAAATCCAGTCTCTTAATAGGAATTAGAAATTAAAAACACCAAGTCTTTGTTTTAGGTGAGGATGGAGAGGTTGCTTTTTGCTCTGTGTGGCTCACTTCAGATCTGGTATCTGAATCCTGGTTTGGCTTCTCTGATGAAGCAGCAAGCTGAATGCTCTCCTGCTATAAACACTACCGGCTGGGGACGGGAGGGGGCTGTGAAGGCACCAGGGCCCAAGCACAGGGAGCCCATGTGGAGGCTGAAGCTCTCAGGTGTGCTAAGTCTGAGTCTGAGGTGTGAGCTTTAACTCCCCAGACAATCACAGGACAGATATGTCCCACTCTACTCTTTGAGTTTTTCTTCATGAAAAGGAAGCAAACTCCTAAATGCTTGAAGAAGATGAGAACGATGAAGAAGAAAAAAGGAGCCATCACTGTATTTACAAACATATTTCATTTACTCATGCAACAGGCTTCTGAGGTAGGTCTTATTACAGTTGGGCTACAGAAGACATAACTGAGCTGTAATGTGAAGGAATATGTATTAGCAAACTGCTGGCTTATGATAGAATGGTGTCCTCTCACAGTTCTGGAGGCCAGAAGTCTGAAATCAAGGTGCCAGCCAGGCTGAGCTTCCTCCAAAAGCTCTAGGGGAGAATGCTTCCTGGATTCTTCTAGAGTCTGGTGTGTCGGGCATTGCTTGGCTTGTGGCTGCATGGCTCCATCTTCCCATGGCCTTCTCCTTTCTGTCCCTGTCTCTTCCTCTTCTGTCTCTTATGAGGACAATTGTGGTGCATTTAGGATCCACCCAAAGAATCTGGTTTGATCTCTTCTCAAGATCCTCAATTATGCCTTGCAAAGACCCTTCTTCCACATAAGGTCACATTCACAGGTTCTGGGGTTTAGGATGTGGGCACAATCTTTGCGACCTACTCCAATGATTCTAGAGCAGTCCCTCCCCTTGATTTTCCCCTTCAGTATCAGAGACAAATATCAAGCAAATAAATTCCTCCTCAGTCAATGGTTTTCTTTACCCTGATGGCTTAAATACCACAAAAATTATCATCTATGAGAAGCTCTGTTATAAAGCCATTGGAAAGATCAGAAAGGAAGCCCTAGGAATAAACTGACAAACAAACATTTATTCGATCAACATCTATATGTGCCACAAGGGAGTCACAAGGGTCACAAGGGTAAACTAGACGTATCTTCTGACAGAAGCTGCAGGCCCACTGGAGAACGCTGTCATGCGAACAATTATCCACACCACGCTCTGATAAGGAGACAGAGTACGGTGGGAACTGACATAGTGCTAAGGGAGAAGGCTTCTCCAAGGTGACCTCGCACAGGCCCATTTGGGAAAGAATCAGTGTGGCAGGATGACAGGCAGGGGTGGGATGAGCTGAGAGAGGAGTGGTGGCAGATGAGGCTGGGCTCTCACTTGCCTCTCTCACCTAACTGGGGTGCATCCCCCCCCTCTTAGAGCACACAGTATCACCTCAGTAACCCTAAACTGTCAAGTGTTTCCCCCCATTTCTGGGTCCTTGTATTTGCTGTTTCCACTGCCTGGATTTAACCCCCAACCCCCAACGAACCTTCCACTATTTACAGGGCTGGCTTCTCATCTGTCTGATCTCAGCCTTAAATGTAACCTCCTCAGAAAGGTCTTCCCTCATGGCTCTTGCTAAACTAACACCTCGAACAATTACTCTCCATCACTCCTTATTTCCTTCAGGATACATTTCATAAACTGTAGTGTACATTTTTACTTACTATTTACAGGTTTACTTTCTATGTCTCCAACCAGTAAAGTCCACTAGGACAGAGACTTTAAATCTTGCTCACCACAGTATCCCCAGTTCTTTTTTTTTTTTTTAATTTTTATTTATTTATGATAGAGAGAGAGAGAGAGAGAGAGAGAGAGAGAGAGAGAGGCAGAGACATAGGCAGAGGGAGAAGCAGGCTCCATGCACCGGGAGCCCGACGTGGGATTCGATCCCGGGTCTCCAGGATCGCGCCCTGGGCCAAAGGCAGGCGCTAAACCGCTGCGCCACCCAGGGATCCCAGTATCCCCAGTTCTTACCACAGATTTTATAAGCAAGAAATATTTGTTGGATGAATAAATGAAGCAGTGCTAACAAGTCCACAGAAATCAAGTGAAGGTGTGATAGGATCATTTTTAGCTTTAGAAAGATGACTGTAACTTCTGGTCAATACACTGGACAGACCTACCAAGGGAAGTACCTCATACAACAGTGAACACTTGCTTAATAAAACTGAGCAAAAGGAATTCAATACATGGCAGAGCTCGGAAGCAATAAAGGAAAATCCTGAAGCTATAAATGAAAATGTAATTCAAAATCTGAGTGGTAAGCAGGAGCTGAGCTTTGCAGGGATACCAAAACCAGCTGCAGACTCTGGAGCAGCCCCCTTCACCTCTTGGACAGGTGAAGTATCAGACCCACAATACAGAGAACTGGAATTGGGAACAAGGCATAAAGATAAGCCCTGAAAGGACTCATATGTTTTTGAAATAGGGATGAAAACATTTGCTGCTGACTTTATTGGAGGAGAGCTGGCAAGTACCTCAGGCCATGAGTGAAAAAAGAATAAACCAAGAGAAATGTGAATCCCAACCCAACACCACATGTGGATGTGGGGTTCAAATCATACTATCAAAGTGGTATGGGAATCTCGAGAAGTAAGATTAACATAAAACCAGTCTAAAAGTGAGAAACCCATAAATGCCCAGCAGTGATAACTGAAACCACTCTGTAAGGATGCCACACAATCGGCACACAAGGCTCCTAGTAGAGTGGGTATAAAATAAAGATGTTTTCAGATGTACAAAGACTGAAATGGAGTTCACATATGCTTGGGCAAGAATGAAAATGAACTAAGAAAGAAGGCATGGATGTGAGGAGGAATGGTAAGAAAAATACTGGGAAATACTGATAGTAAAGATTTCTGTAATGATAAGGACAAATTGTTTGAGGAGTTAAAAACAAGGAAGAACAATAGCAACATATTTATGGATATGTCTCTTCAGGCAAGGGAACCAAAGCAAAAATAAACTATTGAGACTACACCAAAATAAAAAGCTTTTACACAACAAAGGAAACCATCAATAACACAAGGCAACCTAGTGAATGAGAGAAGATATTTGCAAATAATATATCCCATAAGGGGTTAATACCCAAAACACATAAAGAAATTCTGCAATTGGACACCAAAAAACCCCCCAAAACAAACAAAAAACCCCCAACAACAATCTGATGAAAAAATGGGCAGAGGACCTGAATAAACATTTTTCCAAAGAAGGCATACAGATGGCCAACAGACACTTGAAAAGATACTCAACATCACTCATCATCAGGGAAATGCAAATCAAAACCACAATGAGATATTACATTATACGAATCAGAATGGCTAGATAAGAAAAAGAAATTACAAGTGTTAGTGAGGATGTAAAGAAAAAGGAACCCTCATACCCTATTGTAACATAAATTGGTACAACCACTTGGAAAACAGTATGGAGGTTCTTCAAAAAATTAATGATAGAAATACCATATGATTCAGTAATTCCACTCCTGGGAATTTACCTAAAGAAAATGGAAACACTAATTTGAAAAGATATGCAGCCCTATGTTTATTGCAGCATTATTTACACTAGCCAAGATATAGAAGCAACGGAAGAGTGCGTCAATAGAAGAATGGATAAAGAAGATCTGGTATGTACACACACATGTACACACATGAGCCGAAACCAAGAGTTGGACGCTCAACTGACTGAGCCACTCAGGTGCCCCCAAAGGTATTTTTTTTTTAAAGTAGAGAAATAAACTACATTCCTGGATGGGATGGTTCAATATGAAAAGATCTCAGTATCAATTCAATGCAATTCTAACCAAAATCTCAAAATAAATTTTTATGGAACTCATGGAACTTGAAAACAGATCCTAAATTCATATGGAAGAGCAAAAGCCCAAGAATAGCGAAAACAATTTTGAGAACTAGGATGGAGACTTGCCTTTCTTGTTACCAACTGCCGCAAGACACATTATAAAACCAAGGTAATTAAAACAGTGTGATATGGCATAAAGACACATGGATCAGTGGGATAAAATAGAGAACCCAGAAACAGATCCATGCATTTACGAGAACTTTGTATAGGACGGAGTTGGTTCTTATTCAGCAGGTAAAGGATTTCATAGATGGTGTTGGGACAAATGATCAACCAATCAGAAAATAGTAATACTCGACCTCTACTTTATGTCATATACAAGCCAATTTTATATGGAAAGTAATTCATAATAAAACAGCATATGTTTAAATATACAAATGTTCAGGCTGACTACACTAGAATACATAATGAAGTACAGCAGTCAGATGCTTGCACCTAAACTTAGAATCACCATGAACGCAAAAGCTACAAATGCAGGCTCATGCAGGTGTGTTGTATGGCAACTCAAATACCACGAGCTGGGCTGCCTTCAGTTATGTGATTTTCTCAAGTGATGAACAACTCTTGTTAAAGTTCCAAAACACAAGTAAGTATAATTTTCCCTTGATTTACATTTGAGTTGCATTCCTGGAAATTTTACTATATCAAACTATGCCAAAAAATACATTATGTTTATATGAAAAATGGAGTTAGGTTCTAGGCTCAGATTACAAATAAGTATCCTGTGGGACACTTGAAAATTGTACAGGATGCAGGACAATTCTTCACTGCAGAACCTCTAGCATCCGCAGCCCTGCTCTGAAAACCCCAGTAGTGCCTTCAAATCACAATAATAACCAAATGTGCTCTTACAAATTCCAAAATGACCAACAGGGCAGTACCATCCCCTTGGAGATGTTCTGGGAAAACTCTTACATAAAGAGACATCTATAAGGATGTTCACTGAAGTTTTTTTCATAATAGCAAAACATCTGAAAAAACCTAAGTGTCCATGAATAAGAGAATGGATACAGTATTATATACTCGTAATGAACACTTAAAATGAATGAATTTGGTTACCTGTATTGATATGAATGCTATCTCAGAGACAATGTTGAGTGATAAAAGCGAATTATAAATTGAAGCCCACAGTATGATATTAGTTGTGTTTTTAATATTAGAGAAGTAAAATATAGGGGCGCCTGGGTGGCACAGTTGGTTAAGTTTTCAACTCTTGGTTTCAGCTCAGGTAATGATCTCAGGGTCAGGAGATGAACTTCTTAAGGCTCAACCTCAGCATGGAGTTGGCTTCAGTTTCTCTCTTCCTCTCCCTCTGCCCACCCCGTGCCCCACCACCCCACACACTCTCACAGTCTCTCTAAAATAAGTAAGCAGATCTTTAAAAAGTAATATATATCATTTATGATGTACATGTATACTGTACAAATATAAATCCACGGGCACAAATGATGTACAACAGTCTCAAGAGTGTTTGCCTATGGGGAGGGAGGAAGGAAGGCAAATGGGGCCAGAAAAGAGAACAAGAGGGATCTGAAATAAATCTGTGATGTTTTATTTAAAAGAAAAAAACTTGGGGATCCCTGGGTGGCGCAGCGGTTTAGCGCCTGCCTTTGGCCCCGGGCGCGATCCTGGAGACCCGGGATCGAATCCCACGTCGGGCTCCCGGTGCATGGAGCCTGCTTCTCCCTCTGCCTGTGTCTCTGCCTCTCTCTCTCTCTCTCTCTGTGTGACTATCATAAATAAATAAAAATTAAAAAAAAATAAAAGAAAAAAAACTTAAGCAGATGTGCCAAACTGTTAATGTTTCTTTTTTTTTTTAATTTTTATTTATTTATGATAGTCACACAGAGAGAGAGAGAGGCAGAGACATAGGCAGAGGGAGAAGCTGGCTCCATGCACCGGAAGCCCGACGTGGGATTCGATCCCGAGTCTCCAGGATCACACCCTGGGCCAAAGGCAGGCGCTAAACCGCTGTGCCACCCAGGGATCCCACTGTTAATGTTTCTTAATCTCGTTAGTAGGGCAAAGGTATCTGTTATACTACCCAGTGTAATATTCTCTATTTATGAAATTCTTCAGAGAACTCTTAATTTTTAAAGAGGTAGCTGGTGGCTCAGTGCATATGAATTAAGATCAGAGACCAGACTGGTGACCAGTAGGGGACTTTCTGGATAAGGGATATTGAGGGTCTAGACTCCTGTAGCTGTGGAAATGGAAAGGAGTCAAGGGAAAAGGTGTTAGAGATGACTCAGGTTTCCTGCTTCATTGACTGAGCTGATGGTACTACCCTAACAAGATAACTAATTAATTGCTGCTGTTTTGTATAAACTGTAAAAATTACTTGTAAAACTTGGACCAACTCTAACGCCTAGAATACTGGGCAAGTGGTAACTGCAGTTGGTACCATCAGAAACAAGCCCTTCAATCTCCATGAAAGTTTAAAGGTTCATGAGCCATTGGGGTCCATATATGGCATGGCTTTAAAGTAATGAGATAAATATCCCCAGCCTCTTATAAGAATGCGGTTCATCAGTTTATAACCAAACTGTACATTTTCTGACTAAGCATGGACAGGAAAGCCTAGATATAGTATAGAGCACTATTGTGGGATAGAAGTGAACATCCAGTCATCTTATTTTGTTTATTCAGTGTGGGGAATACTTGTGATTATTTCCCATACTGGAATAGCTTAATTATTGAGTAAAATACAATAAAAAAATTAAAACAATGGTGTTTTGGATTCATGTCCAGGGCTTTTATTTTTTATTTTTTAAAGATTTTATTTATTTATTCATGAGAGACAGAGAGAGAGGCAGAGGGAGAAGCAGGCTCCCTGCAGGGAGCCAGATTCAGGAATCGATCCCAAGACCCCAACATCATGCCTGAGCTGAAGGCAGACGCTCAACCATTGAGCCATTCAGGCACCCCCCATGAACCTGGCTTTTTTAAACCTTCTTTGAGAACAGATGGTTTAGCCAACCTGGTTTCCAGCATAAGTCCATTTACTTGGGACGCCTGGGTGGCTCATCAGTTGAGCATCTGCCTTCAGCCCAGGGCATGATCCCGGGGTCCTGGGATGGAGTCCCACATCGGGCTCCCTGAATGGAGCCTGCTTCTCCCTCTGCCTGTGTCTCTGCCTCTTTCTCTCTGTGTGTGTCTCCAATCAATCAATAAATAAAATCTTAAGAAAAAAGAAAGAAAAAGAAATACTGAGTAATTACAGACATTGCCAGAACATTAAAAAAAAAGAAAAAAGAATTTGAAAACCCTGTTTAGTAGCCGACAACCAGAGCAACAACAGGTCCAATGTCCCCACTCTGTGCTCATGCTGTGAGGTCTTTCTTCGGAAAGAGATTGTCCAAAACTTTCAGAGGCCTGTGCAGTGCACTGCTCATTCATGCACTGTTGGTTCTTCATACCCTTTCTCGCAGCTTTCAGATAAAACTGACAGACAGGCATACATGGAGGTGCCTGACCCCTGCACCCTCGGCCTAACAGACCTAATACACCGCTGGCCCTGGCTGTGGATCCCGTGTGAGAATACCAATGGCCATCCAAGAATAACTTACTGTCCAGCACAAACGTGCCTTCCACGGAGGCTAAGTTGGGCCTAGTGCCCTATGGGAGGTAGATATCTCACCCATTCCCGCACTTTCACAAGCTCCAGCCCAGGAAGGCAGCAGAAAACGGGGATTCCAGGAGTCACTGGCCTTTCTTGAGGATTCACTTTCCTTTATAGCTGTTCCAAACATTCAAATATAATGGGGTGAGCGGGGAGGAGGCGGGGAGCATCACACATTTATTTTTCTACATTATTTATTATTTTTCTACATTCAATCCGGTTTGAATTTTAATGTATTAGGATAATGCTTCTACCTTTGTTAATGAAGTAAAATGCAAGGCTGGGGAGGATAAAAAATCCATCGCGGCGCTACCTAAATGCCTTCGATGTGGCATCATCTCTTAGGGCACTCTGAGAAAACGGGGACCGGGGGTGGAGGCCGGGGCTCCCACTTCCCCCCCGGGCGGTGCAGACCGCACCGGCGGCTCGCGGCGGGGCAGCGGCACCCCCGGACCTGGGGTCTGCGGGTCTGGCGTCGCCCCCGGTCTCATCTTCAGGATGTGCGCCCGGCTACCTCCCAGCAGGCGGACAGACCAATGTATCTGAATCACGCACCGACATTGCGCTTTCTCAGCAGCACGAGGAAGCGAGCATCCCTGCTTCCCCCGCCCCGGGCCTTGGGTCCAGATCGGCGGCGAGCCGTGCGCCCACGCCCTCCTGCAGCCTCCTCCACCCCAGCCTCCCCCAGGCTGCCTCCGCAGCCGCCCCCACTTTCCTCGCCTCCCCCTCACCTGGCTCTCCCGCTCCCACCAGGTGTCCTACTCACACCTCAAGGTCCGACCGGGTCCAGCCCACAGGGGCTTCGGTCTCCTTCCGACGAATCACAAGTGGGCTTTCATCCAGGCGCTTCCAGATTCGCTAATCAGCGCGGCTCTTTCAACACCCAGCTTCCTTCGTATTTGCTTACGGCCGCAGCGCCTCCGGGCAACGCCGAGCGTGGTGGGTGGGCACGTCGCTCTCTGTTGCTCCCTCCGATTGGTCGGTTCTGGTGTCAATCACACCGTCTCTTAGGTAACCCGCAGAACCATTGGTCAGTCTGGCGCGGGGGCGGGCTGTTAGGCGCGAGGGAGTCTATTCTCCGGGCCTCCCTCGCTGTTACTATGGAGACGGTACAGCCGGGTGGTAGAGCCGTGGAAGGCAACCTCTTCCCCTCACCTCGAAGCCTGGAGATTTGTACCGCAGTCTGGACGTTAATGTCTGCTTCGGAGTCTGATGGGCGTCTCTGTTCCCGATCCGGTGGTTTGGGTGGGCGGCGGGACTCTGGGGGCAAGTCCCATTAGGCCTCGGAGAGGTGGGGTCAGGCTCAGTCATTAGGGGTCCCTAACCCCCCACCCCACCCCACCCCCCACCCCGGAAGGAGCCGAGGCCGAAGCACAAGTTGCAACAGCATCATATTTTCATTTATCCTTACCTGGCCTTATTTTATTTGGAGTTATTCTTCGGTTAGCTTTAGGAAGTAGACCATGGCCAGGATAATTCTGCTCAAGGGCCGGGCCGAGGAAGCGAGGCCAGGGTCCATCGGGTAAATCTGCAGCCACACCTCCAGGCAGCTGGAAGTGGTCCATGCTTTTAGGAGACTGCTCTTACCCAACCGCAAACTAAAACTCGCCACGATCTAGTTCCGAAGCTATGTAGGGCCGGTTAGTCCAAAACATCCATAAATCAGGCCAAGCAATGGAAATAGGACCGAGGATGCATGCTCCACTGCTGAATCAGGAAGGGAAAAGAGACCACAGTCAAAACCAAAACAATACCAAATTTGAGAACTGCAGTGCTTGAACCTTTGACCTCAGACAACTTTCAGAAATGTCATGAAGCAAACTATTCAGTCCTGGGACGCTGAATCTCTGATTTAGGGAATTCAGCTTCTGCGTCATAGCTTTGTGAGTAAAATAGAAGAAGATGACTGAATTCCATTGAATGAAAGTCTTAAATTTACTCTGCTTTCAAGGTTTCATTTGCAGTCATTTGTCTTAGCCCACTATTTCTCATGTGTTCAACAACTGAACCACTTGGCCCAGGGAGGAGCTCTGAGGTTAAGAAAGCCATTATTTTGATTAATTGATTTCCTTGGAATTGAGTGTTAAAGTGTAGCAAAGCACTGGTAGGGACTATGAAGACACAAAAAAATATCATGTGGCCCCTGCCCTCCTTAATAGGCTGTGGTTTGTTCCTGCCAACAGCATATGAAACAATTAGGAAACACTTTAAGGCAAGATGTAACATGAGCCAAACTTAATTGCCCCCAGTAATAATCATACTTCATATTTACAGAGCGTATTGTGGTTTTCAGAGCACTTCTTCACTTGCATTATTTGGGGGAAATAGAGTTTTGGCTGGAGTTAGCAGGGGTCCTCGTGGTATATCTGGGACTAATGCGGGGCCCTGGCATAGAGGGAGGAGTGGAAAAGATGGAACAGAGATGGAAGGGAATCCAGGGGGAGAAAATAGTCTGAACAAAGGTATTAAGACAAGAATGAGCAATGAGTATCTAGGGGATAATGTTGGAGACTGGGCTAAGCCAGAGTAGAGGCAAATAATGGAAAATAAGACTGTCAAAAAAAAAAAAAAAAAAAAAAAGAAAAAAAAAAGAAAAAAAATAAGACTGTCTAGACCACCTGGTCAGGACCAGCTCTGAGTTCTGAATGTTTTGGGGAGGAAGTGTTCAAAAGTTTGAGATTGGGAAAGTTAACCTTCTTACACTTCAAATGATCAAGCTGACTTTAGTGAAATCATAAATTAAGAATCAGGCACGACTGAGAAGGCACTCCAAACCTCTTACATCTTCCTGAATGGATATAACATTTTAGGTTTCCTCTCACATCAAGGGACCCTCCCCGCAAGCCCCACCTTTCTCTCACCCCTTAACTGGGGGGAGGTATTAGTTTTCTGATTAAATAATGACATTCCATCCTCTCATGGAAATTGAGAGAAGTGCTGTCGCCACAGCGCTCCATCTTTTGCCATCTCTTAATCAGAGTTCACTCTAGAGAAGATTGATTACTTGACTATCCAATCTTTCTCCTTTAAAAAATTGTCTCCTCTGTCGAGTGTTATACACTGCCTCTCCACCTTGCTGCAAATCTCTGCTGTATATGTATTGCTAATACTGTACTTGTAGAATGTAGGCGTCGTCTGTGTACGCATATCATTCGTTTAATTACAATTTTCTTTTCTCCTAAGCAAACCAGAAAGCTCAAGCAAGAACAATACAAACCAGTGCCTAATTTCCTCTTTCTTTAATGTGCAAAATCATTTGTTATGCTGTCAGACAGAGGTAGGGTGGTACAAAGAGTACGGCTTGTAGGAGTGATCTCAGAAGGCATGGAATTTTCTTGTTCAGGGATCCCTGGGTGGCTCAGCGGTTTAACGCCTGCCTTGGGCTCAGGGCGTGACTCTGGAGCATCGGGCTCCCTGCATGGAGCCTGCTTCTCCCTCTGCCTGTATCTCTGCCTCTCTCTCTCTGTCTCTCATGAATAAATAAATAGAATCTTTTAAAAAAAAAAAAACTTTTTTTCTCGTTCATTTTGTAGTCAAAAGTTTTTCTGCCGGAGAGTTCTGAATTTCTGTAATATACATGTTTTCATGTGTGATGATTTGAGCATTCCTATTGGTCTGAAAATATAAGTTACTTAAGTAGTTGTTGGTTATTAGCTGAAACTCAAAAGCAACCGTTGTTCTATTCTGCTAATTGGGAAATGGTAAACAAAAACTTCCCCCAGTGCAGTTTTCACTTGTTGAACTCAAGTTACTGACTTTCCAAGGTCATCCAGAATTGCTACCATGATTTTCCAGATCATAATATTTACCTGATGCTATAGACCAGGGTCAGTAAACTATGGCCTGTGGGCCTAATCTGGCCTGCCATCTATTTTTTGTATGAACTGCAAGCTAAGAATGAATTTTACATTTCTATTTTTTATTTTATCTTAAAGATTTTACTTATTTATTCAAGAAAGGCACACACAGAGAGAGGCAGAGACATAGGCAGAGGACCCTGGGATCACTACCTGAGCTGAAGGCAGATACTCAACCACTGAGTCACCCAGGTGTCCTGAACTTTACATTTTTATAATGATAGTTCTTTTTTTAAAAATTTTTATTTATTTATGATAGTCACAGAGAGAGAGAGAGAGAGAGAGAGAGAGAGAGAGAGGCAGAGACACAGGCAGAGGGAGAAGCAGGCTCCATGCACCGGGAGCCCGATGTGGGATTCGATCCCGGGTCTTCAGGATCGCGCCCTGGGCCAAAGGCAGGCGCCAAACTGCTGCGCCACCCAGGGATCCCCTGAACTTTACATTTTTAAATGGTTGGAGAAAAAAGAAAAAACAAAACAAAAGAAAAATGTGAAAACTATATGAAATTCAAATCTCAGTGTCTATAAGTAAAGTTTTTTTGGAATACAGGTGTGCTCACAGGTTGTCTATGGCTACTTTTACTTTATAGCGCCAGCACCGAGTAGTTAATACAGAGACTGTATGGCTCATAAGCCTAAAATATCTACTGATGGGCCCTTAAGAAAAAGTTTTGAGGGGTGCCTGGGTGGTTCAGATGGTTGGGCATCTGCCTTTGGCTCGGGGGTCCTAGGATCGAACCCCACATTGGGCTTCCTGCTGCATGAGGAATTTGTTTCTCCTTCTCCTTTTCCCTTTGCCCGTTGCTTCCCCTGCTTGTGCTCGGTCTCTATCACATAGGTAAATGAAATCTTACAAAAAAGGTTTTAAAAAATTTAAAAATAAATAAAAATAAATTTTTTAAAAAAGTTTTGATCCTTAGTATCTTAGAGATCTCTAATGAATTGAGTCCCATGGAATGCTGGATTTGACACAGATTTTGAAAATCATGTTAATAAAAAACAAAAACCATTGATAGAGATAAGTTACTTCTTGTCTAAAATTACATAGTCTATGGACAGAGCTGGTACTAGAATCCTGGTTCCATTGGTCCAAGGTTTCTTTTATCCATGCTGTCTTTTCTCTTGTAGAGCTTATCTTAGTTAGGACAAGATAGGTGTTGTATAGTCTGGAGGCAAGGAGAATTTATCAAATCTTTCCTAATTTTGATCCCATGTCTCATCCAGACAAATACAGTACACTGTAATCAGGTTATGGATACTGGGGCTTTCATTATTTCAGCCAATATGAGTTGCCTTATATTTTTCCTTTTTTTCCTCATTTCTCAAAAGATATATGACTATGATGAAAAACTTTTTTACTTCTGTGCTCTTTTTCTCTTTTAAGAAAATCTTTTCTCCTTCAACAAAGGGATTCAGAGGTGGCTGAGTTTCTTTTCCAGTCTAAGTCTCTTCGGGGAGATGAGGATGATTAGGAAGCCATGGGACACCCGATTATAACTCTGGAGTCCGTGGATGGGCCATATATGCAGAGAGGGGAGGAAGAGTGTGAACAGACCCCCTGAATGTTAAGGCTTAGTGGGTATGTGCCTATGTAGGCTTTTCTGGGGAGAGTATCCATAGCTTTTTTCAGATATTTAAGAGTCTGTGACCCCAAGAAGATTCAGAATTATAGATATATACGAAAGAGATGTGTCTGTGGAAGAAAGCTGCTCAGATGTGTGTCAGGGGAGGCCGATCTGGGTTCTCAAGTCTGTGTGACCTCGGCTGATGATGAGGGGAGAACCCTCTACCCACTTACCTCAGCCCACCCAAGTTTTTTACCCTCTGCCACTCATAGAGGTGATAAAAATTCATCAGATTCGCATAATGGTTGAACTCCGATGGTGATGAAATCCCAGTATAATTCTCTGCAAAGAATGTTCTGATTAATAGAAACTGCAGAGGAACTAATTTTATGAAAATAGCAAG